ATGCCCACTGCACTAGATGCACTTAGCAAAGAAAAGGCCTGGCAGTCCTTCATTATAGATCTGCTGCTGCACTGCCAGAGCAAGTGAGTTATCCTAAAATAGAGTACTCTTATTCCTGTTATGCTGTTGCTTTTGTAACTTTCAATAAAATAAATATGCTTTTGTTATAGTTTAAAGGAAGTATTTTTATAAAAGATCATACCAGACTTTCAGAAACGTTTTTTATTTAGCCTCTGAAATTAATATTTAATTATATATTTAATGTAATATTAAAAAGTTAATATTAAAAGTAAATGATTTAAATATTAAAACATGTAAAAAAAAAAATTAAAAAAAAATGATGGTGACCTAAAATGTTTAAACTTTAAGTTCATTTATTAACATTTTTCAAACTGATTTTTGTCAGGATAAACAGGATAGAATAGTTTTGTTTCATAAAATTCATTGCTAATGCGTACCATTATTTGCTTCTAGGTCTGTTCGCCAAATGGCCCAAGAACAGTTCTTCCTCATGGCCACCCGGTGTTGTATGGGCCATAGGCCTCTCCTCTTCTTCATCACCCTCCTCTTCACAGTTTTAGGTGTAAGTGTCTTGAATATTTTTTTGGGACACAGCTGGAGGTTTTTTTTTGGTGTTAATTCAGAACATCTCATTATTTGTAGTCATTTTATCCTGTCCTTTTGTGTTCCAGAGCACTGCAAAAGAGCGGGCAAAGCACGCTGCTGATTACTTCACTCTTCTAAGGCACTTACTCAACTATGCATATAACAGCAACATTAATCTTCCTAATGCAGAAGTTCTCTTAAACAATGAGATCGACTGGTTAAAGCGCATACGGGTATGTTCATTTACCTAAACTTCTTTTTGGAATTGGAATAGTGAAAACTTTAGTGTGTGCAAATTTGAGTGGCTTTTTTTTGTCCTAGGATGAAGTGAAGAGGACTGGAGAGCCTGGGGTTGAGGAGACCATTTTGGAAGGTCATATTGGTGTCACAAAAGAGCTACTAGCTTTCCAGACCCCAGAGAAGAAGTTCCACATTGGTTGTGAAAAAGGAGGTGCTAGTCTTATCAAGGTAAACATTTCAGTGGTAATCATTGGCCACTTTTGCTAAATAACAACAACAGAAAAAAATCTCTTATTTGCGAGTGCATTGCCAAATCAGACTAACTGATCTTCCTTTTTTCCCCCCCATGAACTCCTTATAGGAGTTAATGGATGACTTCCTGTTCCCAGCATCTAATGTGTAC